TTAATTGTGTGTTTAAAGAATTGTATTCATGCAACTTATTTAAGACTAAAATTCTCTACCAAGTATACCTCGATATAACAGAATTTGGTCAAACAACTTGAATATCAATTTGTGTGGCAGTTATTACAGTATTGATCAAAAGGTATTTCATTAAATTGAAGTGTATAAATATTTTGTACATCTTAATTAAGTGTAGGCCAAGAAACTTTACTGGATTCCAAATTAGGTAGTTCCACAGGTGTAATTATAGCTACTATACAGTTTAATGGAGCATTTACTTGTTTTGAATTAACAAAATATCCATCCACAGCCATTTTTTTCAGTGCCACCTAAAGAGAGCTAACTCTAACTACCTCTGCATTTGATAGGTAAAATTATTCTCTTACATGATCAAGAGATGTTACTGTTACTCACCAATAAAGTAGTTGTTTCCTAGCGTGAGTATTTCCTCAGAAAGAACGAGTCCACCCAGTGCCTGCAGGAGAGTAACACTTCTGCCTTCTATAAGTGAGCACTGATTAAATCCAGTTGTTGTAACTTTCCATAACAAGATAAGAGAAGCTGTGGCATCTTGCCTTATTCTAGGCAAGAATGATAAAAATAATCACATCATCTCAAGGGAAATTGGTCTCATAAAACACACATAATTTCAAATGAAAAGCAAACAGACAAGGCTCAAATATGCAGAAAGGCTGAGTTTTTGCAAATAAACTATGTGCGTTAGCAAATGTAAATATGTTTATTAGCAAACAATTTTCACAGCAGTAGGGGTAGATGCATGCATTCTACTTCCAAAACATTCCCCATACAAAATTCTTCATGAGTAAGATCTGATTAACGGTGTACCTGAAAGCAGATACAATCACTGATAAAATTATTAACAGGATTCTATGACAGTTGACTTCACTGACCCAGGAGAATCTACCCAGGCATGTATTTTTATGTATTCTTCTTGTCCATTAACTTAGAGAACCATCTTAATGCCCAGTTAATGTGGTCTATAATATAACACAGCACAAAAGCAGATTCTTTACTCATAGATAATGTAAATAAATATCTTATATTTATATAACTGATTGCCCAACTATGACTACATCCCTAATAATTTTAAGTGGTACTGGTTCCCTCTGCTAGTGCTCATGTTAACACGTAGTCAAGGTAGGAGACTGAGGCCAATTGAAATCTTGGATTTTCTGTTGTGTGTTTTGTTTTTTTTTTAACACATTGGATAAAATGTTCAGAACAATTTATTCTTGTAAATAAAATGAGTCAGGCCATGTTATGAAGGTCACTAAGATCTGCAGCGAGTTGCTGGATAAGGAAACTTGCTGCTTAAAGTAAAACCACCTAAGGGAAAGTAAATCAAGTATAGTCAGTCTCACAGGATTTCAGAAAATTTTCAGAAGCACCATGCCAATAACTTACTTCTACTGTTCTGCCCTTTTACTGCACTGTTTCCATACCTAGCTATGAAACGTGTGAAATATGAATCTTACTGTGTATCTCGCAAGTATCCAGATATCTGCATCAGTTGTCTGAAAGAACTCCAACTAGGATTGAACAGATCTCCAAAGGCTCAACATTCAATGTATATAACCATCCAAAAGTCAGAAATTAATCTGAATCTCTATTTATGGGAAATAGGGCTGCAAGTCTCATGAGAATCAAGGGCTCTTGTAGAATTTCATCACATACAGGTGGTTTTAGCCATGGTAGAAATACAGTAAGAGCAGCCTTTCCCATTTCCATGCTTTTGCTTGCAGTTGGAATCAAGAACCATAGGCTTTTATTAATGTTATTCATGCAAGGATAGAGCCTCTTACAGCTGGAGTGCTTGAGGCTCAAATTTCGGGCACTATTTTGTGTCTATTTTTAATCCAAGTTGATGTATGTATTTCTAACAACTTCATGTAATCTTAATATGAGAGCAAGGAGTGCCACATTCCATTATCAGAATTAATGGAATCTTACTAATCTCTAGTGACTGTTCTTTTAGAAATGGTTGTCAGATGTAGTACATCTGCATTTAAACACAGAAAGTATGGAAAACTATTACAAATGATTGGGAAACCGTGGCAATTCAGCTTGTTAGCAGCATAAATACATGCCTATTAAGGGATGGCTTGGGGGGAAAAAAAGGTTACTACCTTTTCCAAATCAGCTGCCAAACACAACTGACAGTGCAAATGATTTGTGCTCATTTGATTTTTTTTCTCCTTTAGTGTGTCTCAGTACATCCATGAGCCCTCCTAGGCTCCTCAGAATTGCCACCTTCTTAGCAAGACTCAGATTTCTTTCAGACTCTACTAGACTCCTTGAGAGTACTTGTGTTTGGCTTTTTAATATATGATAGAAAAGTAGTGGCAGCATGCTTGTGAAGCCCATTCACCGAAGGCATCTACTGAAACAAGACAGCTAATGTCTGTGCAAGTTGTATCCTATTTCTCCTTTCTTACACGCTTTCATGAGGAATAAAATTCAACAACATTAATATTTAAATTGTCACCACTGGGCATGATTTAATGCCCCAAAGGGATGAACAGACTAGGTCCCTCTTAGGATTTCTTGTTACAGGTTCTTAAAGACTCAAAGTGGACCCTGTTTCAAAAGTTAACTCTTTTCAAAACCATCACAAAATAAGAAACTATCTGGTGTCTGGCTGATGTTTTAAATGGAAATGGAGATCCTGGACCATAAGATGGCAACATGAAAAAGGAGAAGGTAGTATGCTATTCCAGGAGAAGTCTAAAATGACCCATCTGGCTATCTGGCACCCCTGGCAGACATGCAATTAAAGCATAATAGTATCTGATGCATGATCCCAACAATCACACTGATTGAGCCTGGGATCATGACAATCAAATAATCATCCTGGGGCAGTTCTGACTTGCTGGTAGCTGATTGGGACCCTTCTGGGGATCCAGCCTGAGGATGGTCCCTGCATGGTGCCATGCAAACCAACAACAAATATATTACACATTTTTTTCATGTTTATCTGGATTTGATGGCTCTATAAATGTAGCCAGTTGTCATTTCTGCCATTACAGTTAACAACTTAATCACACTAGAAAAATAATGTGCCAGGGGTTTGGAAGACAGACAGTTTTCCTTTCAAGACTACTGGAAATAAATTCAGTATTAAACACTGCCATAAAAAATGTGTGTACATTCCAAGTTGATTTGACAAAAACATATTCTTACTTGATTGATGTGTTCTGGGGAACTTCAAAGGTGATAAGCCGACCTCCAGCAGAGTTGTTAGAACTGGCATTTCCACAAGCCACGTCTGGTATTATCTGAACAGAATAAAGACTGATGAGGTTTTTATGTTTCTTTTTAACTGTAAAGCTAAACATATCATGGGGAAAAGGGATACAAGAATGGCACCAGTACCCTAACCTTGATCAGGGCAGACACTGAATGCTTTGTTATCAATATGCATGTGAACTGATATTTTTATGCAATCGAGGGTATTCTAGAAACTCATTTCAGTGAGCATTTACTATGAGAGGTGAGGTACTGCATTAATCTTTGGGAAAATGATAAATCAATTTATATTACTATGGGAATCCTACATTTATTTGATAAGCCAGTGAATCCATGGAGTAGATAATAGATGATCCCAGTTGATCTACTGATACGATATTTCAACTGCGCTTATAAAACAATAGTAATTTAAACAAAACAACAAACCCACGGACTCCTCACAGAATACTCTTCAGCTTTATCCCAGCAATAGCAATAATGAATCTCACAATGAGAGGCTTTCTGCAAAAAAACGAAGAATCCATTCTCTACCTAAAGAAATTAGTAAAAATAACTGTGCTCAGTTTGTTGCTCAAGTCACTTACCTGCCTAATAGGAATCAGTTTGCTATTAGCTAAATGTACACCTTTATGGACACTTGTTACATTACCATTTTACAGGCCCTTCATCTCTCTTCAATAGTATTATCTACATTTCCAAGAAGCCATAAAGAAAGCCTTTCAAAATAATATGCTATAAATTGCTGTAGATTATGTTGGTCTGCAGCAACAATGCAGCAAAAAGTTTTTCTTTAAATCATTTTTAACATATCCCTAAGAAGATGTAGTGTAAGCCAACTTTTTTCACATTTGCCAATATGTATGAATAACAATCTTCTAAAAAAATTCTTATTCCCCCCCCTCCCCCAGTCATATGGAAGAGCCCAGTTAGCCACAATAAGCACAAATGCATTTCTGGGTCAGTTTAGTGCATTACCAACCAATACAAATCTGAATTCCTCTTCAGTTTCAAGCAGCAAGTTGAATAGCTCTTTAATTTACAGAAACAAGGAATAATTTAGTTGCATTAGTTGAAAGAAATGCAGAAAAAATAAATGTTACTATTTATGAATCTTGTAAAAATTGTGGAGATTATATTCAAAGCACATCAAACCAAAATTAATCTTGCCAGCAGCCTTCCCTTTATATTTGCCAACACACAAACTGCATTCATTTTCTGTGAGTGTCTGATTTTTAACAAACCTATGGGAAAAATATCAGTAACAACTCTGTTTTCATGCAACAGAACAGTGAAATCTAAAAACATAAAGTAGTAGAATTGAGTGATGGCTAAGTGCACAATTTTATATACCAGCAACTTGAAACAAATCAGAAAAACAACGATCTGCACAAATTCATTAACAATCTGGAAGCTGGGATAGACTGCACCCTCAGTAAGATCACAAACGACACCAAGCCAGGCAGTGTAGCAGATATACTGGAGGGTAGGGCAAGGATTCAGAGTGACCTAGAAAAAAATGGAGGATTGAGCCAAAAGAAATCTCATGAAGTTCAACAAGGACAAGTACAAAGTCCTGCACTTAGGGCAGAAGAATCCCATACACTGCTACAGCCTAGAGACTGACTGGCTAAATAACAGCTCTGCAGAAAAGGACCTGGGGGTTATAGTGGACAATAAGCTGCATATGAGCCAGCAGTGTGCCCTTGTTGCCAAGAAGGCTAGCAGCATCCTGGGCTGCATTGGTAGGAGCGTTGCCAACGATTGAGGAAAGTATTCCACTCTATTCAGCACTGGTGAGGCCACATCTGGAGTCCTGTGTTTGGTTCTGGGCCCCCCACTATAGAAAAGATGTGAACAAAATGAAGAGAGTACAGCGGAGGGCAGCAAAAATGGTGAGGGGGCTGGGGCACATGACTTCTGAGGAGAGTCTGAGGGAAGTGGGTTTATATCAGTTTGGAGAAGAGAAGTCTGAGAGGGGTTTGATAGCAGCCATTAAGTCCCTGAAGGGAGGTTCAAAAGAGGATGGATCTAGACTGTTCTCAGTGGTGACAGATGACAGAACAAGGAGCAGTGATCTCAAGCTGCAGGAAGGGAGGTTTAGGTTGGATATTAGGAAAAACTGTCTCACTAGGAGGATGGTGAAACACTGAAACAAATTACCTAGAGAGGTGGTGGAATCTCCATCCTTGGAAGTTTTTAAGGTCTGGCTTGACAAAGCCCTGGCTGGAACAAACAAGTTGGGGCTGGTCCTGCTTTGAGCAGGGGGTTGGACTAGATGACCGCCTGAAGTCGTCCCTTCCAACCCTAATTTTCTAGGATTCTGTGATTACTTTATACTGCCCCAACATAAGGGATAATGAAATAAGTTAGATAACCGAGTAAAATGTATCATTCTGTTCGGTGCTATAATAAAAGAACAAACATTAAAATTCATTTGGAGGTATGGGGGAAAGAAAAAAGAACTGAAAATGTGACTACAAAAGGACAGCCCAAAAATAAAAGGCTGGAGATGGCAAAATGAACATTAAACCAAACAGAAATACTCACTACAATTAAAAATTTTTAGCAAAGGCCACATAAATCCAAGCATTTCAATGCTAACTGAAGGAGCTGGGAGACAATGTGCAAAGCTTAAACAATTGTATTTAGAGAGCAGGGGCCAGTTAATGCAGGCCTAACTAGGAACTCCAGTTGTGCTTCAACTCCGGAGCCCTGCCTGATTGATCTGATATAATTATAACCTAAAACAGTAGGATCCTGAAGCAAAGCAGGATTTAATAATGGCAGAAAAATCAACATTTTTCTATTTAAGTCCTTCGACTTAAATCAGACAAAAGCACAAGCAGCAGCAGCATCCTTCTAGCACTGATAAGAAATGAAATGGTGTCAGAAGCAGCATATCCTTAGCCAAACATGAGCAAGACAATTTGGCATCCAGAAGAGAGAAGGCATTACAGAGAGAACTTTACTCCAGCAACAGGGTTGTATAAAAGGTTTCAGTCAGTCTATGTTCTGAAATGTTTTACTAAACTTAAAGACCTGAGAATAAAGGCATGCAAGACCAATGTATTTCATTAACTAGAGAAAACTCAACCAGAACATGAAGAACATCTAGAAAAGGAGCTGAAAGAGCTCAGAAGCTAGTGAAAAGGGGGCAGCAGGAAAAAAGTTGAATTAAAGGACTCTAGATAGAAGACACATACTGTACTACATGCCCTCCAAAAAAAAAAATGCAGACATTGAAATTTCTATGACCTATATTGTCCAATTCCACAGCAATAAAAGAGAGACACGCTTGTTTTACCTCCTGCAATAACACCACATTTTCCTAAAATATCTCTGTAGCATTCAGATAGCACATAGCCCTTAAACCAACAAGGAAACTCCTAAAAAATGCTAATTGCTACAACACCAATGATACAGGTATTTTAGTCACCACTAGAAATATAAAATCTTTACCAGCCAAAGCCCCGAAGGAACTGCTTACAAGCTCTTCAATCATCACAGAAATAAGCTTTTCAATATGTACTACAGGATTTAGAACAGTTATATGTCCATATCTGCCATCAAGACTATTTACCAGTAGACTAACACATACAAAATGAGTACAATCAATCTGGATTGAAATCAAACTCTTTTTTCAAAAGGGACATAATAATCCAGAAATTACATTTCTGTCTCTCCAGGCCCACCATATATCTGCCAAAAAGAGAAAGCAAAGTTGATGGGAGGATGGATTTACCCTTAGAATCCCTTAAAGAATGAGAAAGGGGAGCAAGAAGGAGATCAGAAGATTATCAAACTCCCTCTTTTACCTGAGGGGAATCTGCTTAGGAAGAAAGCAAAAAGAAATCATGCTGGAAGATCCTGAAAGTGCTCTGCAGCCCAGAGAAGGTAGATATTGAAGAGGACAATGCTCAGCAATAGGATAACAAAGCAGAGCTCCACAACCAACTTAGTTACAAAAGAAGATTAAAGGATCTGAGATAAGTTTATGGAGGAGAAAGGACGACAAAAAAGGGATGCGATGCATGGAGCTGTTTGTTCTTCACAGGGTGCAAAACAGTGGAGGGCATTGCTTTTTCCCATGCTTCTGGGCTTTGATGGGTACCATATGAAACCACCAAGGAATTGGTATAGACTGAGAGGTGTTGTGCCTTCCTTTGGCCCTCTTTCTTGGATCCATCAAGCATATTTAATGTTGCAGTGGTGGGACATTCACAGTGAATTTGTTTTACCCATGATAGTTTAGGGTGTGCTTGAGCGATGTGCTTTGTTGTTGTGCCACAGGGTTGTTTGTGTAGCATTTAGGAACAAGTTAAACAAGCACTTGTGTAGGATCATTTAGACAGGGATGATCCTGTCTTGAATAGGGAGTTGGTCTAGATGACCTTCGGAGAGCCCTTCCAGCCTTACTTTTCCTATGAAATTGGGAGGCTGTGTTCCTATTTCTTGGGCCCCCTGCAAAAACAAAAGAATACACATTGCACAGATATTATCCTGCCTGGATATCACAATTAAAAGGAGCAGAGGTGCATTTCAGGAGGTGTGGAAGTACACATGAAAATCTGAAACATCAAGATGCTACTTTCATGGCACTATATTACTCTAGAACACTAAGAATATTTGCATTTAATGATTTGAAAGGGAGGACTACACATCAAAGAATTGCTAAATCTCCATTTAGGCTTATAGACATGATCTTTAATGGCATGAACCATTTCTAAAAATTCCCCCACTTACCAACTTAATACTACATTAACACATAACAATTCACTTTTTATTCATATTTCATGATCCAATGCCCATCCTTGCCTGTTGATCCAACTGTGAATCCCTAGCACACACCAGGCTATGTCATCATAGTTAATCACAAAGCACCATGCAGTGAACTTGCTTAATTTTGATAGTGTTTACAAAAGTTCACATGCACACACACACCTCACTCTGGGTGCTGCAAGATACTTTTTAGGGGGCTGCACAATATTAGAACTGTTAGATGTATAGACACCTACACAATTCACAAGTT